TTGCATCATCCCATGTGAGACTAGAGATCTACCACTGAAAGCTGTGACTTGATAAACTCACTTCCCTACAGGCAAATACACCGCTGCCAGCAGCGGCAAGGAGGGCTTTGGAGATGCTTTTGAGGCTAGTGGGGAGGGGCAGGACATGTTCAGTGCTCTTTCGAGCACCTCTTCAAGGCTGTAAAACCTGGTCTGCTTCACATTTTGTTCCATGAGGGCCTGGAGCAGCTTTTGAAACACTGTTGGAAAGAGTTTTACCCCATCTTGCCTGCCTGGCTGGTGTGTTTTCACCACCCAGCAAAGTGTTGTGGAGACAGGAAAGCATAATTGTGGACAGCCAGTGTCAACTGTGGGTCATTTTTCCTTTTGCAAGCTGAACCTTCTTTTGAGTTGAGTCCTTTGCTAAAGCAGCAGCTCTCCTGTGCCTTCCATTTAGTTTGCAACGCATAAAAGATAAAACTGTGCAGCAAGCAATTGCTGGACACATTTAAATACCAGAGACTCATAAACTGGTTAAATGTGAGAATTCATATTAAGAATCTAGAACTGATTCTGATTTTGTAAATATTTTTGAAGTTCAAAAGCTTGCATTCTCGTGGATGTTTGTGTGGTGGTTGCAAACACCAGTTGTGATTGTTCGTTGTGACAGAGTCATTTCTAGCTTGCATTTTATTAACTACTAGGTTATCTACAGGAATCTTTGCTCTCTTTGCTGGAGCATTTGCGAGGTCTCTGTTCCCCACCTGAGGTGGGGGAATCCCTTTATCCTGGCACTAAGAACCCCTCAAAGGTGTGTTATCAGTCAGGAAAAGTTACTCGCAGCAAGCACTTGGTGTCACCGTGAGTGCATAAGCTTTGTTTTCTACAGTTAAACAAGGCTGAAGAGCACTTCAGCGGGGAAAAGGAGCTCCCCTATCAAAGCTGGTGTTACGTGCCTGCAGGCAGGCTGCAGGCTGGGTGATTTTACTCCATCCGTGCTCCCCCCAGTGCGTTCCTGGCCAGCCTGCTGCTCCCCTGGTCGGTGTGAACTGCAGCCTCCCACTGCTGTTGGGAACTGGTCTGACAGGGCAGATGTGCCAAGGTGGGTATCCAGCGGGAGGAGGAGAGAAGCGCAGTGTGTGTGTGAAACCCCGTGCTTGTTGAACTCTGCACTAGGCTGCTCTTTGTAACTGCTCATTATTATTATAATGAGCTATCTGCAAGTTGCATCAAGTTTTGTCAGAAACTCTTGACATTTTTGTTTCAATATTATGAAAGTAAACAGTAATCCAGGCTTGGCTACATGAAGCCATTCAAAGGAAGGCCCGGCAGTAGGTTCTGTGGACCAGTGGGCAGGGTGGTATTACTTGTCTATCTGGCCAGGCGCTTGTCTCAGCTGGCTAAAGCAGTGTTAGAGGTTTAAAACTTGTAATCTCTGCCTGATTAAGAATAATATGTTATGGCTACAGAGAAGAGGCTGGTGCTGTGCAGTCCCTTGAGTTGCTGCAGGAGGGCCATGAAGATGCTGCACGGGCTGCAGCACCTCTACTATGGAGGCGGCCTGAGAGAACTAGGCTTGTTCAGCCTGGAGAAGTCTCCAGGAACACCTTGTAACAGTCTTCCAATACCTGAAGGGGGCCTACAGGAAATCTGGATAGGAACTTTTTACAAGGGCATGTAGTGACAGGACAAGGGGGGAATGGCTTTAAACTGACAGAGGGTAATTTACCTTAGATCCTTGGGAGAAGTTCTCCCCTGTGAGGGTGCTGAGGTGCTTAGAAATGTTGCCCAGAGAAGCTGTGGTTGTCCCATCCCTGGCAGTGTTCAAGGCCAGGTTGGATGGGGCTTGGAGCAACCTGCTCTAGCAGAAGGTGTCCCTGCCCATGGCAGGGGGCTGGAACTGGATGAGCTTTAAGGTCCCTTCCAGTCCAAACCATTCTGTGATTCTGTGGTATGACCTGGGAGGTGAAACTGCCTTGTCCAGTACATTGAGCTCAGGGCAGGTATCCTTACGTCAGGATGCTGCATCCACCCATCTGCAAGGCTGCCCTGGGGCTGGGAGGCATCAACACTGCTGCATCTCCTCAGGATTTGTATCTCCCTGGCTGCAACTGCCAGCACTTTCCTCTTGATTGCAGATTTCACATGATGCCCGGACATCTGCAGCGTTCAGTGTTTGACCGTGTTCAGTGCTGTCATTTAGCAAACTCTTCTGGAGGGCAAGTGGAATGTGTGTTTTTGCCTTTATTTCTAAAGTGCAGTATGTAGAAGCCAATATAGTGCAGCAGGGTTATTTGTGTGAAAATTTGCTGTTTCTTGTTTATGAGATAGTGTAAGATCCCAGAATGAAATTCTTCTAAGGTAAAAGGCCTGTCAATCTTATTAATTATTGCTAATAATAGTAATTATCATGTGAGCACACTGCTTGCCTGCTTTATGGGTTTAGGCAAGTCAGTTCCCTAATAGATGGCTGTAAAATGAGGAAAATGGTATTTTTCCTCAGTGCTGAAAGGTGTTGCTCTGTGAGTGCCGTGTGAGTCAGAGGTGTTTTACCAAGGCAGCTGTATGGCAGGGGCAGCAGGGGTCTGTGTTTGGCAGAACAGGGTGTGAGCAGGGGCTCATGGGTTGTGCACTGGCTGAGGAGGAGGTTTGCAGCGAGGTGAGCTTGTTTCATGTCACAAGGCCATCAGCTGCCAAATGCATCTGATAACATAAATGTCTTTTAGACCCAGTCCAAAACATCACTTTTGCCTTGTTAGCTTTGGGTCATAGGCTTCTGCCAGTGATGCTATGCTATGGAAACAACAGGAGCAGAATTTGGGGTGTTTCTTTCAATCTCAGCACTGCCAGGATCTGCACACTGGGATGCAAAGTGGGATGTACAGGTCCTTATTGACCTTCTGCAGCTCCTCGGGAGATGCTTATGCCTCCCTGAATTAGGGATTTCCTTTCCTGCAGAGATCCTTGCAGCAATGGAGTTCAGGATTTGTCCCTTAATTATCTCTGTTGCTTCCAACCATAATAGTGGTGTGTGGTCAGGGTGGTGGCCAGTGCTTCTCTGCCTGAAGCAAATGCTCCAGCTCTGCACTGGTGATGGTGTGAGCAAGGTGGAAGTACTTCATCAGCACATCCAAGGCAAGTCCCTCTTCTGGGTGCAGCCACTTGACTTCCATCATCTAAAGACAAGTTGTATATCAGTTGTGGGTCTGGCAGAGCCAATGTGTCTTTCAGAAAGCCATTCTGGCCTTTTTTCTTTTCTTCCCTCCTTTCCATTTACCCTTCCTTTACCTTTCAGTGGAGAGGTTTAAAACAACTTGGATAAGCAGTGGGGATGATCCAGAGGTGATTGCTCCTGCATCAGTTGAGAGAGGCCCTGTGACCCACTAATTGCTGTCCCAGCCCTGTGCCTTGTTTGTGTGACATGTAGGATGGACCAGTTTGACCTAAGAGTCCCAGAGGAGATAGGACAGTCTCAGTGCATTGCCCATGCTACCAGGCTTCTGGTCCCCACCAGAGCTACCAGGCAGCTGGACAGACAAACAAGAGCTGACTCCACCTACCAGCAGTATGGAGACAGCAGCCCGTGAGATCGACAGCACAAGAATGTGCACACAAAAGAAGCATTTCCCTCAGCCACGACAGTAAAACCGCCAGACAACCACATGCAGCATGTGATTTCCCAAAAGCATCAGCCCAGATCCCAGCTTCTTTGTGCCGCACACTGTTTCCCAGGATCAGATCACAGTGGCAACGTGTAAAAGGCATTTTCAGGCACTGAAAATTAATTATATTTTCCTCAACATTGTTTATGGAAACCCTGGAGAACACTCCTGCCCCTCTGTGCTTGGCCAGCTGGCTCAGCTCACCGGCCCTTGGAGTCAAACCCTCTGCAAAGGCCAGACATGTTTATGGTGGAGCCACTCACGCTGCCTTGATGAGAGTCATCCAGGCTTACTCTGTGGAGTAGAGGCTTAGGCAGCGGCCAGGGGTCTCATCTGTTGACCTATAAATACAGAGCCTCTTGCCCTCTTCCTCACTCTGTGTCACTGCAAACAGCAGCGGGTACACATAGTAGGCACCATGCGCTCTGCTTGCCAAGGCTGCAAACAGCTTGTAAGATCCCCCAGACATTTGGGAGCTTTGGCCAGTGGGACTCTGGCACAGAGTGGAAATAAGGTGAGACAGGATGAGTGCGGTTTCCCTTCCCCTCACTGGTTTTCATTGATAAAATGGCGTTGCTTTCAGTGGAGCAGCTCTGGTTAAGACAGAGCTGATCTATCCAAGAACTGTTTGGCCTGGGTGTTTTTTGAATTCCTGGCTTTAATCTTTTTTGTTGTGACTCTCTGGAGTCTGTTGTACATTCTTAGTTGTAAAGGGAGCCATCAGTTAATGATGATCACAGTCTTTGTCAATAGAGTTCCAGAAGCGCTAACGAAATGGCAAACATTCAAACTTGAAAATGAAATCTCTTGTTCTCAGTGTGATTTTTCTTCCCTTCCCTCCATCATGCGTGCCTTGTACTGCTCTAGTAATGCAGGCAGCTCTGTGTGTAGCTGCTGTGGCATTGCTGAATGTATTAATATTTGTAAAGGTGACAGAACATCCATTTGCAGTGTCCCTTGTTTGGTCCTTCAGAGACAAACACCTTGCTGATTGCAGTGGATGTAAGTCTGCTGTGATTTCACCTGCTAAGGAAACACTCTTCTGTAAACAGAAATTTACAAATGAGCCTTTCCCCCCACCCCAGAATAGTAATTTTTGGGTTTAGATTTCCAGGAACTGGTATCAGCTGGGTTCCATGACCTGTACTTAGAAACAACATTTAGTTGATAAGGAATTTGTTAAGGCAGAATGGAGCTGAGAGGCAAACCACCACCCATTTCTCTGGATTGACCCAGGAGGAGGGGAGGGGCCAGGAGCTGTCTATGCAGACAGGCACAGCAGAGTGTACTTTCCATTTAGCATCCTGAGTTTGGGTTTGGGCATGGAGCACAAATCCTGACAGTACTATGTTTTAACAGGGAGAAGATTACGAGGAAAAGCATTCTACAGTGTCAACGGGAAGGTGTACTGTGAAGAAGACTTCCTAGTAAGTAAGATTTCAGGCTTTTTTTTTTTTTTCTGTTTTGTTTCTAAACCAAATTGTTCTTTTGTATTGGTTTGTTTGCTTTGAGACACAGTTTAGTCATCTAAGGCCTCCTGCCAGTACTGGAATTGGGAAGCATTTACCACTAACTCCGTAACAGCAGGATCAGGCCCTTGGTTTGAAGTGGTGGCTATGAAACCAAGTACATAACTGTCCATAAGCCATCACAAAGTGTAAATTATGAGAATAAACACTGGAGCTGCTCAAGCCTGGGACTTGAATTGCAGCCACAAAGGCTTGCCTGCCAAGCTAGAGCTCAAAGTCAAACACCTGGGGAATACCAGTCATAACAAGAGGGGAGACGTTTTTGACTGGCGCACGTCATGGCCATGTACAATGTTGCTTTGTTGCAGGCACAGTTTTAATCACCACCGTGCTCGGAGTGATGTGGAGCTGCATTGTGATTAGCTAAAAACTGTTAGCCACGGAGGAGCAACTAATTTTCTCTCCGTGCACACAGAGCTTTCATAAATGCTATACTTTAATAGGGACTAAGTCATGAAAAGAAAAATGAAGCTTGTTGCTGAACTGTGTTGTTCCAGAAATAAAATATTTGTGCAATTAGGGGTGAGGATTGTGCAGGACACAGAGAATGATTTGATAAGTGGCAGACCATTTATAATTAAGAGGACAGCATGTCTGGGAATTGAAATGAGAGAGGAATGATATATTTTAGCTTAGAGGATGAGATGTTACTGGACAGCCAGTATGTTGAATGTATACTTCTATTTACTGAAATACCAGCTTGGGTCTTCCAGAACTACTTTCCATTTCTAATGAAAATATGGCTGTGCTTTTTGCAAAGGAATTATTCAAAATACATCCCACAACAAAAATGTTACTGGCTGTTCAAAGAGTGTGCAAATGCATTTCTCATCAATTCAATCCATAAAACTCATGGAAAGTCCCCAGAATACAAGCCGTATTTGCCTTCATCTGTGATACCTTTACTCTCAGCCTTCCACAGCTGGACCATGTTGAAAAGAGCAAATCATATTTTGTGCAGAAAGTAAGTTTCTTGTTATAATTTAAACGTGTTACTGTTTTGCTGGCATTTAGGAGAGAAAATGAGTTTTCTCCCTTGCTTTTTCAGCTTTTTTCTTTTCCCCCTGTGTTTCTGCAGACGCATGGAGAGAGGGTGAAGAGGTGGTGCGTGAGGTGGAGGGGCTCAGACCTTTGAGATTTTTATTTTGAACTGTGTACTTTCCCCATGGCCAAAACCTTTCATCCAGATTTAGTGAAATTATTATTATTACTAGCTTGTAATTCCAGCCTAAACATGAGAATTTAAAAACTTAAAATCTCAATCTGTTGGAGAACATTCCATTTTCAAGGGATGAGAAGCCTCTTTGGTTCTTCAACATGTTCTGTAGTCAGCTTCTGAAGGGAGATACTTGCAGTGATTTTTTCCAAGAGATTAAGGGCCTGATAGGAATAAATTATGCATGTTAGGGAACTGTTGGGACATTTAAGACACAGACTTAAAAGTCCAAACCTCCCACAAGTGCGTCTTAGCAGATTCCCAGTAGTACAGGAATGGGAGAGAAGCAGACCAAGGGACTCTAGGCTGTGTATGTCAGCAAAGAAATCAAATTCTGACATTGTCCCTGCCTGTGTTAAGCCAGCTGCTTCTCAGAACGCGATTTCATCTTCTCTCAGTTCCCCTGAGCAAATGTTATAGCAAGATTACTAGGAATTGTCTTGTTTCCCTAATAAAATAAAACAGCTTTGCTTATTTTAGAGTTCTGTGGACAGAGAAAGCTCAAAGTTTCTCTCAAAGTTGGAGGAAAAGGCTGCAAAGTGGCAGTTATAAAGGAAATTATTTAGCTACTTCATATTTCCTCTTGCCCACTTGGAAACTTCAGTCCTAACAAGAGGTGTTTTTCAGTCCAAAGCAGATAGCCAAAGATTTTTCTGTTTAACAGAATTCAGTCTCTATTGTAACTCAGTGCAATTTTATACGTGGATTCCCTGCTGACAGTATGGTAGTGGGCTATCAGGGATGTCATTCTTAGGTAAGAACATAGGAAAAAGATTATTTTAATTTGGAGAGGTAACAGAGGTAGTCTACCTCTGTTATGATTGTATTCCAACTAATAAAATACTGTCCAAGTGGTATCCTTGCTGTTCCTTAGCTTCTGCTTGCCTGGAAGTTGATCAGGAGAATTAGATGTTCCTATAGGTATTGGAGCTGGGTCACAGCTCTTCAGAGTTGTGACCCTGCAGCTTGTGACCTGGTTATGTCAAGTATGACACAAAGATAATAGGAATTGGAAAGCAGAGCAGCTTCAGAAAACTGGGCAGGAGGTACTGTGCTATCAGGCTGGGGTCAGTGGTGAAATCCATGTAGTAATAACTGAATTGGAGGGGCCTGGCTAGGCTTGCAATAGCAGGATGCTCTTTCAGTGGATTGCCAGGGTCAGATGTGAGGATTTGCGCTGCTCACAGTCCTGCTGAAGCAGCAGTGGTTTGAGTGATCCCCTCATTTGCCCTTTCAGCAAGAGGCATGCTGATGGGAAGCAGTTGCAAATGTAATGCCAACTGGGAGCAGGGGTGGTAGGAGTCTCCCCACTACCTGGAGGAGAACCCAGCCCCTTCCCATGCTCAGCAGGCAGCATGGAGGGCTGTAGCTCTTGCAGAGCTCTGTCCCTTCCAATTGTTACCTCTGTGTATCCCATGAACGTGATGCAGGTGCTTCTTCCCCTTCATCCCTGACATCATTCTGGGGATGTCCTGCAGGCCAGGCCAGGCCAGGCAAGACACAGGAACTTGTCAGTCCCACTTTAGGGTTGTAGTAAATAGCACATGAACAGTGATGGGTGGAAAAGCTGAAGCTGTTCTTGCTGTGGACCAGTCAGTGTAGGAAATTTTAGGGAAGAATTTATATTATTTATGGGTTTCTTCTTACTGTAATTGTTAGAAATGTTTAACATCCTACAGATGTCAGCATTTTAACTCTACTGTAACACTGCTGTTTCCTGCGTCAGAACAGCTCCTGCCAGAGCACAGTCCCCAGAACTGTGGTCAGTGGCTTGTATATGATACCTGGTTCTTTAACTCCCACTCAAGACAGGTCAGCGCCTTCCCTCTATCAGAGGTGATGCGTGGAATTTGCTGCAGTATTGCATATGGTGCATGAAGGCAAGACCTTGAGAAAAGTCATTACCTGATCCTTAGAAGTGCCAGAGTTGTTTCCAATCAAATTGGTCCATAAAAATGTGACATAAGGAGCTGTTAGTGTCAAGTGTTCAAAATTGGGGCCTTTCTTTGAAAAGTGCTTTTGATTTCTGGACAAAAGGTGTTAGAAAAATGTAGATGTTAATTCATTATGAGCAATTTCCACTGCACAGCCATAAAGCTGTCCAAAGTGCAGATACACCTATCAAAACCTTTGGCAATAGCCACAAGGTACATTCTTCTAGCAAATAGTTTTCCCACATGTTTGCTCTTACTGAGGACACAGATTATCTTTGAATCAGGCAGCTTGTTTTTCTCATTCTTTTCAGGAAAGAAATGCTAGAAGTTCTTAGACATGCTTGTGGAGCTGTGGATGGGGAAGGGATGCTGCATGCCATAGTCATCCTCATACATCCTTTGCTTTAGCTCCAGGGAAGATCCAGTCACACTTTTTCATGCCACCTTAAAGTAGCAAGTCCAGCAGTATCCAAGCCTTGCCTTAGCCTTGTTAGGATGGTTATTTCATGAAAGGAAATAAAACAAATGGCAGTTTAATCCTTCCCTGAAAGCTGTTCGGACTCAGATGGGTAACTAGCCATAACAGGGACACTGTTCCTGGTGCAGTGAACGAAAAATAAATGCCTTGCTGTGTAATAAATAATCCCAGTCAGATGTTCTTGTTCCATTTTGTTGATAAATTGCTGTATAATCATGGGTGATGGAATAATAATAATTCTGTCTTTCCCTTTCAATGCTTAAATATGTAAAGAAATCTAAAAGAAATTACCGTTTTTCTTGGCAAAAAAGACTTAAAAATGTCACCAAAGCAACCTGAATCTTACATCTATTATCTTTTCTTTTTGCCCCCTTTTTTTTTTTTTCCTTTTTGAAAGGTTTTCCCTTTTTCTCTTGAGGTAATGAACATTATTGAGTGGGGGTCCAGTAGAGGTTAAGAAACTGGAGAATTTCCCTCCAGGGAGGAGATGAGAGGGGTAAAATGAACCTCGTGACAGATGTTAGTTACATTGCTTAATGCACTAGTGGAAGACGCTTAGATGCTCTGAAAATAACCAATTACAGACGCCACAAGCTGCAGAGCATAGCATTAAGGTCATCCAAACCTTCCTCTTTTAAGATTACCTCTTTCACTGGCTTATAACTTTGCCAAATTTAATCATCTGGGTTGAACTTCTTCATGCCAGATTTTTGCCTCTGGCTAACCTTGCTGTCATTAGTTGTTGAAAGTTTTACTAAAGCTGTTCATCCATTTCAGTAAGACTGGAGGAAAATCTGTCACTTTGCCCATAAATCCTCAAAGAGAAAAGCTCTAAAAACTTCAGTTTGCATGTGCCAACCAGAGAAAGAGACTTAGTGCATTGTAAGCCTCCAGGCCCTTGCAGGTTGCCTCTCGAGTCTTCCTTCTCCTCTCAATCCACTTAACAAAAGTTGGCTACAGAGAACATACAGGGCCTCATCTTCCACCCACAACTGTAAAACTCCCAATGATTTAAATAGGTGATGAGGGTGTGCGAGATTGATAGAGAGGTGGCAAATGGAAATGATGAACCTTTCGTGGGGAGAAACGAGCAGGATGTCAGTGGGGGACCATCTGAGTGATTGACAGTTCAGGAGAGCAGGGCTTGTGCCCTCATCTCCTGTAGCACCAAATACAACAAGACCCATACCCTAATTTGGGCCTCTGGCCATGGCTGCAATGTAAATATTAACTAGGCTATTCTTCTCAGTTTGTGCATATGCTGTTTCCC